TATTTTTATGCTTTTGGTGAAAGGTGGATCGCAACAATCCAGATGGCAGGGCCAATAACAGAAATAGAGGTGAATCTTTGGGACGAGAATATTTATATAAGGACATACAATATACACGTACATAGTCCTGGACACGCAGGCGGCCATGCAGAGATTTGACACTATAGGGTGTATTCTCACTTGGGGGCTGCTCGTGCTGATATGTTGCATACCGTTATCATCACACTCCATGCAGTGTTCCTTCCTGGATGTAAGTTGTATTTTGACAAGCAAGCGTACGACAACCTCCCACTGAAACAGTTTTGAGATATCCGTACCTCCAGGTACCGCGCCGTCACCCACAGCCAGTAATGCTTCAAACACGTCCATTTCCAACCAGAAAATATGCATACAGTCAGACGGGTCCCTACATCAAAATCGAGGTAACGGCTCGGCGTCATGGGACCCGGTTTCCCTCTCCACATCGAGCAACACGTCGTATCCTCTACTCTTACGTCGGCTGGAGGCGCTGGGTACCACGGCAGTTACGATGAGAGGACTCTTCATCACACTACTGTGCACTTCCACGTTAAGAGTCATTTCATTACTAGGTTACATATCCACGTTCTGCTCAAGGAAATGGGGAGATTCTTTCGCGACCATTATGCCACTAGTGCCGCTCCTACTGAGCTTGGCGGCAATGGTTGGTGCCCTGATTTGTCAAATTCGTGCTGATCAACGCATCCATCAAAATGTCAACATGGAGGAGGTTTTGGTGATGACTACTTACGGTTCTATGTTGTACTTGTCAGTGATTATACTTCTCCTTCTTGTAGTTCCAGTTTTGTTTCATGGCCAAGAGAAAGTGCTCGGGTTGGTTATAAACAACAAGGAGTCGGGCTCTCCTGGCCGTTTAAGTGTATTGAAGCGCTGGTTTGGTTGGAAGGACTAGTGTGGCCTTTGGCCGACGGCATTTCATAACACCGAAAACTGTAATCACGCAAGCCATGGTTATCTGAACGACATATACATACTGTAAATATGTAAATGCTTACTGCATTGTTCTTCCTTTACAGAAAGAACAGCGTTTCTGTGACAGAGAGCCACAAGCAACAATCTGACATAACCCCGTCGCCGGACATAGCTGTTCAGTTAAAGCGGTAGTGGTCAAGCAGGAAATTAAACTAAACTAAACTAAAGGCAACGATGCTGGCACCATTATGTGTCCTACGACACATTGTATTTTAAAGTTGGACTCACAGTTCATCGATGTAAGCTGAGGATCTCATTGGAGGCTCTACAGGTTCTACAAAATATCTAGTCTACTTTCATGCTGGCTGTCTAAGCCTTGATGTCCTTGCCAGTTCCATACTCAATGTTTGTCACCGCAAGACCAGCGAGCGGAAGAGCTTCACCCAAGGTGTTTGGGCACGCCGGCTGTTTGCTAACATCCATGTCGAGTGTGCAAACCTCGTTCCAGCCCAGGTGACATGTGGAGTCGAAAATGTTAATGAGCTCGTAATTTCTGGCAACCCAGCTGTTCTCTTCCATCAAACAGTGGCCCACGTAGCCCATACTGTTGGGGGCAGACAAGGGTAACTTTCCGTCAAAAAGGAGTGGTTTGCAGCGGTCTGCAGGAACGAATTGGTATTGCATTTCGACCGCGCCTCCCATGTGTGGTTCCTCCTTGGCAGACTTTCCATATACGAGATAGTTCCAAGCGTCGTAGGAGACATCATGTGCACCAGTGGACTTATCGATCTTGAGTAGGTGGACGCTGCGGCCGCCATAAGACACTTCAACGCAGATGTCATTGCAGTCGACGTCGTCGGGCCAGTAGGCTACACGACTGGTGTTTATCTTGCAGCCAATAACGCCGACTGAAGAGGAATACTCGACATGGGGTGTGATGCCTGCGGTCAGGGCCTGCTTGGTAGAAAGAGCGGCTGCAACGGATGCCGTGTAGAAAAATAGGACAGAGACAACAGCGAGCATCTGGGCTTATTCGGTAGGTAAGTACACGCTGTTTGCCAGAAGATTTGTTGT